TTAAACATTTAATCCTCCAGGGGTGAGAATCACAGCTTGTGTTTCTTTGTATTTTTCATCTAACCAAGCAGTACAAGGGCTTGCTTAATAAATATGTGCTGATTGATTCCTCTCTTGTGGCTGTGTTGTAAGTCTCATCAGTCTTCATTGTGTGTGTGTGTGTGTGTGTGAGAGAGAGAGAGAGAGAGAGAGAGAGAGAGAGAGAGAGAAAGAGAGAGAGAGACAGACAGACAGACAGAGACAGACATAGAGACAGAGACCTGAAAATCATTAGAGACTTTTCAAGCATAGATTTTGGAGCTAGAAAATTTAAAAAATGCAATTGCCAGTATTTTGTATGTTACCTTCTTCTAAGTGCTCATGTTTACATTGAGATTTTGATAATTTATACTTAAAACATGCACTGTGATTATTCTTTAAGAATTAATTTAAGAGAAAAGGAAAAATAAAAAATCAATAACCAGCAACAAAATAATTAAATTATTTTTTATTGCAGTATCATAGTTTGGGGCCGGAACGATAGCACAGCGGGTAGGGCATTTGACCCGAATTCGATTCCTCTGCCCCTCTCGGAGAGCCTGGCAAGCTACTGAGAGTATCTCATCCACACGTCAAAGCCTGGCAAACTACCCGTGACGTACTCAGTATGCCAAAAACAGTAACAAGAAGTCTCACAATGGGAGGACAGTGCTACAGTGCTATCATAGTTTATAATACTGTTAAAGTTATTGTTTATAGTTGCAGAATTTGATTTATTTACTTATGCTTTATTTTTTTTTGGTATTTGAGTCATACCTGGCAGTGCTCAGGGGGACTATAATAGTGCCTGGAATGGAACCTGGATGGGCCCCATGGAAGGCAAGCAAGCACCTTACTCACTACACTATCTCACCTGGTTACACTTTAATTCAATGAAATCAGATCAGAGAAGGGTGTGAAAACCAGCCTCTAAAACCAGTCCGTATTTAAAAGGCATCATGGTTGATGTGGTCCATTGGGTTTGACCCTGCCTACCTGGGGGTGGAGGGGGTCAGTGGATTTCCAAGTATTTCAAGGGAGCAGTATCTTCTTTCTCTCTGTCACTTCTTAACCAAAGCCATCAGTCAGACAGTAAGACATCTAAACACACTAGTGTGAGTCTCTTCACCCCCCCTTATGCCAAAAACAGTAACAAGAAGTTTCTTGATTAAGGCCTGAGTCCTATCTTACAGCTTCAAGTTCTTTCTACCTCTTGTTTCTAATATATACTCTCCATCCTCACCCGCCCTCCACACCCCTCACCTGCCCCAACCCCTCATAACAAGAAAAGCAGTTATTGCCCTAAAATAGCACACACCTAAGGGCTAGAGAGCTGGTACAGGAAGTAAGGCCCTTTCGGTGCTTGCAGCCGTGGCCGCTGCAATACTGTTCAAATCCCCTGAACCACAGAGGATCCCCTAGGAACCAAGCAAGGAATAGCCTCTGAGCACTGCCTGGTGTGGCCAAAAAGCAGAAAATTAAAAAGCACATGTGATAACATCATTTTTCTGAGAAACTCAATTGGTTATTTAAATCTGTGTATCTGTGGTGTTTCTATAAAGAAGCTTTTGCAATCAGGTGAGGTATTTAGGTTTGTAAACTAGGCTAGATGGAGAATAAATGAAAAATTTTGAGAAGTGATATATAGACCTATGAACTCTATATCATTGTACGTATGAAAAATGGTTATCTCTAACATTTTTCAATTCACTTATCCAAAAACTGTTTCATGCCTACCATGTGGCAGGAACCATTGGAGGTACTTCTGATGCCAGCGAACATATAGATCTTGGACTTGTGTAACTCACAGTCAAGTTAGGAGAGAGAATATACAAAAAATATGCAGGTCATAGGTGAGTCAGAGAGCCACTTGAAATCAACTGGTCAGGAACTGAGTAGGTAGTTTAGAGCAGAGCACTTGCCTTGTACATGTGAGGCCCAAGCTTAGATTCCTGATAACACACACACACACACACACACACACACACAACACACACACACACACACGACTAGTCAGAGGAAAGTAATCCTTTGAGAAGGTGATATTTGAGTTAAACACATATCTCAAATTCAGAGAATATCCCAGCAAAAGTAAAAGAATGAACAAAGTCACTCGAATAAAAAGGTTTTTTTTTTTTTTTTTTTTTTAGGAAACATACCAATGATTCCCAAGAGGAAAGCAGTCTAGAAGGGGTGGGGAGGGAAGACAGACACCTCATATAAAGAGCTGAGTACAGCATTCCACTCCTGGTACTGTACCTCAAGGGCCCTGAAGCGCAATGCAAAAAAGACATCTAGATTCATGTTCATTTTGGCACTGTTCATAAGATTCAAAATCTGGAAATAACTCAAATATCCAAGAACAGATGACTGAAAAAAGAAACTATGGTGCACAAATACAATGGAATACTTGGCCATAAAGTGAGATAAAGTCACATAATCTGCTGTTTCATGAAGGGTTTATGAATGGAGAGCAACACGTTGAGTAAAATCAGGCAGAGGGAGAGGAAATAGACTCTGAATGATCTATATCATATGTGGGGTATAATGAAACTTCACAGAGTAATATCAAATGCCCAATGGCAAAAGAAAGGAAAAGCAGGAGAACTGGTCTTCAGTAGGAAAGTTACCACTGAGACAGGAATAGGGGTAGATAAGTTAGGGACGGGAATATTTGGACAATGGGGGAGGGGCAAAGTGCCTGCCTCAGAGGCAAGCTGGGGGAGGGGAAAATGGGGAACATTCGTGTAAGGTAGTGGGTACTATTGATGGGATTTGTGTTAAAACGTTGTGTGCCTGAATCTTAACCATAAATATGTGTAACTTAGCAATTCACGATGATACAAAAAATATACTTTAAAAAAAACTCAGTGGTCCTTGTTAGGTGTTTGCAATTGACTCTAAGATTGGAAGCTGTTAAATGACTTTGAGTGAGGAAGAGACATTTAATAGTTTATACTTTAAACAGGACACTGTGACTTCTGAATGAAGCAGGCACTGTAAAAGTCAGGGTGGAGTTAGGCATAAATGTAAACAGGGGGGAAAGGTATAATGATGTGGTATTGGTTCTGAGTTCTTGGTGACTTGCCTAGTAGGTGTGCGAAGATCTGCAGAGAAATAGTTCTGTTTTATAGGTCAAATTAGGACCTATTTGTAGGTCACATTGCTTGTCAATGGGTTGACTGGATACAAGGAGGAGTGGCAGGAAGGAATCAAGGATGGGTATGCCATTTGATGAGACAACTAAGAAAGGAATAGATCTGGGACAAAATGTTCAGCCTTAGATATGTTAAGTGTGAGGGGCTGGTCAATCCCGTGTAGCTGAGACAAGGACTGAGGGAAGCCCGGAGAGGAGAGGTCCTCTCTGTAGATTTCCATCTGTGAGTCATGGTGTGTAGGTGACATAACAGTCATGGTGCTGGCAGGATCACCCAGGGAGAGAGTGGAACTTGATCAGATAAGCACGTGGAGGACAGCCATGGAACACTCTGGCATTCACCTACAGAGAGAACAAGGGCCGAGGAGCTTGGAGAGTAATGCCTGCTTGTTGTAGACAGAGACGTGTGTCCAGATGGGGCATGTGGCCAAAGGTGAGATATCCGAGCAATGGAAATGGCAATGTGAGGACCGAGAACACAGGATCTGGAAATACCACAGTGACAATGACCAAGGTGGTTTAGGGTTCAAGCCTGGCTGGAGTACAGTGAAAAAAGGGTGAGACTGCAGTTGGCAGGAATGCATTGTTTGGCTGAGATTCCCATCATGAATGTTTTTGTTTTATGCTTGTATGTTCATAAAATTCCGACAATAAATATTTATAACCCGTGTAACAACAACAGTTCTACATATGTTGCTGATTGCACTCCACATTTATTGGAGGAATAACTCCTTATTAAAACACTTTCTTTCATCAAAGAAAGACCATCTACAAAGCACTGCTTGCTGAGGACACTATTATATATGTTGCCCTTGGGGGTTTCTATTATATATATTAAATACCTATTTGGAGTCATACATATGGGTCATATATGTATATTTGGATATATATGTATTTATGGCAAATATATGTATATATACATGTATATTTAGCAAATACACACATATGTATGTGTGTATATATATATTTATATTTGGAATCTGGTGCCAGGCATTTAGCTATGGCTGATGCTATCACTATTCTCAGCCTATGTACACTACCCCCACCCCACAACTGGCATCAGCCTCAAAGTAGTTTTTTCAGGCTTCTATCTCCCCAGCCTCTTACAGACCAGGACTGGAAATTAAGGAACTGAACTCGGTCTCTAAGTCAGACAGACATGTTTCTTTCTTCATCTGCCACTAATGAGCTGTTTGACCTTGGGCAATTCTCTGTGGCTCTGTGCCTCCGACCCTTAGGTGTAAAACGAGACCAGTAAGCTTCCACGTTTTCAAAATCAGTTTCGTGGTGCCTGGCGTTAAAGTTAACAGCAGCTGCGGTGGATCAATTGGCTTCAGTGCCAGGCAGTCTGGGATGAGACAAGAAGAGGCGAGAACTCAGATGCTCCAGAGAACCGATCCTCCAGCAGGGGCCCCTCCTATGACCCCGAGATGTCCCAGACAGTGTCTCTCTCCCTGCACAGGGCGTGTGTCATTCCGGTGACCCGTCTTTCCTGTCGCCCCACGCTCCGGGTCTATGATCACGCGCCCCCCACCCAAAGCGGAGCCTGACGCCTCAGTGGCTCATGCGCCTTTCCGCCCAAGCCTCTTGCCACGGATCTCACGTCCCATCCCAGGAGACGGCTCCGCCCCCCGCCCGCGGCGCGCCCCTCCGGCCCGTCTGCTCGGCCGCGCCCGCGGGCCTTGCGCTGTGATTGGCTGCGCCGCGACGGCAGGCGGCCCGCGGGCGCACACACCCTCCCGGCACAGCCAATGGGCGCGCGCGCGTCACCGACCGGGCGGCCCACGAGCAGACAGCCCCTCAATAAGCCACATTGTTGCACCAAACTCCTGCACTGGAGTCCCGGGCCGCTGCAATCGCCGCCGTGTCACCGAGCCCAGAAGATCTGCGCGCGGGAGCATCGCGTTCGTGAGCTGGACAGGTCCGGGCGCCCCAGTGGGACCCGGGGGCTATCCTTTGCAAGTTGGGGCTTAGCGACCCCGAGAGACTGAAAGTGAGTGCTTTGAAGGGGAGGCAACCCGGCAAATCGCCCAGAGTTATTCTTTGGCGCCTTCTAGCAGTCGTGACTCCGAAAACCGGTTTGCAGAGACCCTCGAGTTGTGCGCGCCATCTCCGTTAGCCTCCGTTTTGTTCCGCCCCAAATCAGCGCTCCGGGCCGAGCCTCCCAACGCCGGCGGTCCGACTGCGCTTCCCTCTCCTCCCGAGAGCCTTCCAGCCTTGCTTTCCCCGTCCTGCCGTCGGTCCTCCCCACAGGATGATCGCCTCGCATCTGCTCGCCTACTTCTTCACGGAGCTCAACCATGACCAAGTGCAGAAGGTAAGTGAACCTGGGCGGCGGCAGCTGATTCCCAAAGCGGCGTGGACCCCGGCCTCTCCCCCGGGTCCGGCGCGCTGGACTCCGCTCGGGGTCCCGCTTCCTCCCCTTTCGGGCCGAAGACGCGGCGGGTCGGGACTGCCGGGAAGCACGGGGCGCCGGGAGCCACGTCCGCTAGGCACCGACAGGCGAGCGCGCGGGAGAGGCGCCCGCGCTCTCCCCTCGGGCCACCCAGCGCGCGCTCCTGGGTCCTTTTCCTTTTTTCTCCTCTCTTGCCCCTGGAGGGGCGGGTCGCCCGGCACGTAGTCGGAGATTGCAGCCCACGTGGGAGGAGCCCCCCTTCTGCAGCCCTGAGTTCCGGAGAAAGCACGTGGGGGAGAGTCCCGGCCGCGGGAGGAGTTGCCAGTACCGTGCGGGGCCGCCGCCGCAGCCTCTTGTGTTCGGGGCGCACGTGGTTCCCCCCCGGGGTTCGGCGGGGCCTCGCGGGGCCGGGCTGGGGGAGAGGAGCACCCGGGAAATCGCTGGGAAGGTGACAGATGCACCCCGCGCGCCGCGCGCTCTCTCCGGAACTGAGGCTCCCGGAACTGAAGCGCGGCGAGGGGGGGGATCCCCGGCCCCCCGCCCCTTCCACGGGTTTCGGATCTGCCTCCGGGCCAGTCCGTCTGGAGTGCTCCAAGTGGGGGGGGGCACCATGGTGCTCCTAAAAGTTCCTGGGCCAGGACCAGCCACCCCCCACCCTCCCAGCCCCCACCCCCGCTCCGCCGCGGCCACGACCCCCACCAGCTCCTTTCTGCTACACCTGGAGGCTTTGATCACTCGGAAGATGATCTTTTCCAGCCCGGACCTCCAACCTGCGGGTAACCACCCCTCGCTCTGAAGCCCCTCTACCCCTCTCTTTTTCTTGGGGACGAGTCATTTACATAAGAAAGAGCCGCTGGTGCTGCCCCGGGCCGAGCTCGCTGGGCCTCTGGGTTTGCTTTGGGGGTGGGGCTGGCTGGACCCGGGCGCGCGCTCTCTGGGGAGAGTTGAGTTTCCGAACAGATTTCAAATGCGTCTTCTTGTCTCGATGGCACTTGCGAACAGGGACTTGAAAAGAGGCTGGGACGCGAGTGGGAGGTGGCGTCCGGAGCTGGGAGACAATGACGAGCCTTGCCCAATTACATACTTGAAATTGTTCTGTCCTAGTGGGAACACGTTTTTAGAAAAGTGTTTTTGACATTCGCTTTTGTTGGGAACGACTCGACTGTCCTCCGCGTCCGGGGATCTTGAGGGCAAATGAGAGGATAATGGGTTACCATCTGGCTGTTTCGAGAGTCGTGGCCCCTGAACCCCTAAATAAAGCATGACCACTGGGTAGGAAGCGGAGGGTGGGGTGGTTTGGTTGGGTTACACTTGTTTAACGAAACGGCTTATACTCTAGAATCTTTTCTGAGACGTGGTTTAGCTCCTCTCTTGACTTAGGTTTTTTTTTGAAAATGTGTGTGAGCGTGCAGGATCTTGGCAACTTTTTTGAACTCCTGAGCCCCAAATCTGAATTAACTCTTAGGGAAGAGTGTCATCGCTTGGCAAGTCTTAAAATGCAAGCCAGAGGGTCATTAATTCTGGGGAGGTCTTCACAGTTGGGCAATTTCCCCCGCAGGGCATTTGACTTCTTTTACCGGTTCTCCCCTCTTCACTCCCCCCCCCCCGCCCCCCCCCCTCCGGAGGTGAACTTTGGGGCTATACCTCTGGCTTGTACTGGGAATGGGTGGGTGCGGGGGTGAGTGGTGATGGTGGTGGGGGGTGTCAATCTCTTTGGTCCCTGAGTGAGAAAAGAATTTGCCAGGGTGTCTGGAAAACGGTTCTAATCTGTTTTGTGGTTTATTAACCGCAGCATGCTGAGCAAGTTGCTTTGTCCCTTTCTGCTGTTGATGTCGTTTTTGTCATATGGTGGGCAACTGGGTCCTTATCTTGGGTGGAGCAGTTTGCTTCTGCAAGCCTGATGTTCCACTTCGTGGAGGTGTGTGGGCACCGCAAGGTGAAATATGTTATACATCCTTCCCGTGAAGCGTCTTGGGTGTATTACTCTAAATCACCAATGGGGGCAGCGTTGAGATAGCCCTTTCCTTCAACTCACCAGGTGGTGTTGGGAACTGGGACTTTAGCCTCTCAGTTTAAGTGGGCAAAACCGAGTCTCACTGCAGTTAGACAGAAAGTAAAAAGAGACTGAGAAAGGAGGATATTTTGGAAGCATCTTTTCAAGTTTCAGCTTGAAGGAAGCACAGTGAGAGGATAAAAACTTGAGTGTAATTATGGGAATCCTTCAGAGTGATATTGATTTTGAACTCTTCTTGAAAGTTTCCTGTGAATTTTTTAACAGGTTCTACGAGAGGGAAATGTAGATTCCTGGGCCCAGAACTAGTCCCACTAGAATCATTTGTTTTCCAATGGGCAAGCCCTATAATATGTGCCATTAGAATGAGATTAAGGGTCATTTTCTCACTTTGGCTTATCTTCACTTTGACACTCAAGAGCCCAGCATATAGCACAGAGTATCTTCTCTGGTAGCTTGAGCTATTTGCACGTTAGTCACTGACATTCACAACAGCCCCACGAAGTGGATGCAATTATTATCTCCCTGCCTATTTTATACTGAAGAGAAACTGAGGCACGAACCAACTTGCCCATCACTAGTTTTTCTCTAAGAGCTGGGAGTTGAAGACATGTAGTTAGGTCCAGAACTAAACGCATTAACTCACACTCATCGACCTCTGGGAATATTCATACACTCTGTTCTGGCCGAGTCTGCACTCACTCTGGATGCCTGAGTGGAATTGATGGTTTTCAAAAGGCTGTTACCAGGAGAAGGTCAGTCCTACCTGTTCACCTTGGTAGCCAGTTACTGGCTGCCATTCTTCAGTCAAAATGAAGAACACAAGTTGAAGGCTGGGACCTTATGGAGAAAAAAGCTGAACCAGTGTTACTGGATGGGAATAAGGGTTAGGGCTGTGAGTCCTTGAATGAGTGGACCTTAGAGGGAAAGGCAGTAAACTATTCCTTCACCAAAGCTTCACCTGAAGCTGATCCTAAGGGGAGACCAGAGACAGAGGGAGGGCATTTCCTGCCTCTGGGTTACTTCCTGTCTGTGGAGAGATAGAGGATTCTTCTTACTAGTTGAAGGATAGAGGATTTTGGACTCTTAGGAATAACAATCAATGAAGGGTACAGGCCTTGCATTTCTTATCGATCAATTTGATTTAACATGCATGAATTGTTGTCACTTTGATTTAAGTTCTGTAGTAGAGAAAACCTATTTGGGCATCTTGCAGTATGAATGAAGGAGGCTGTCAACTGAACAGAAGGAGGAGGGGACAATCTTGGAAGCAGAAAGATTCTTCAGAGCTCCCTAGAACTGAGGCAGACAGGAGTTCATTTATTTATTTTTCTGAGACCCTGTTGTGGACACAAGGCCTCTGGGAACCATGTGGGAAATGGAAACAAATACACCTTCCAATTGTCTGATGAAACAGAACTCCAGGAAAAGATATTTTCCAGTAGTAACTAAAGGTGGTGTTTAGTCTCTCTGGGATGGAGCAATCAAGACAGAGTACTTTACCTGGGGTGGGGAGTAAGGGACCTCAGGGGAAGCTTGGTATGCTCTGATTTGTCATTCATTAATCTCCAGATAGAAATTAAAGTACTGGGAGTTGGAGGCTGGAGCAATAGCACAGCGGGTAGGGCGTTTGCCTTGCATGCAGCCAACATGGCCAACACAGGTTCGATTCCCAGCATCCCATGTGGTCCCCCAAGCACCGCCAGGAGTGATTCCTGAGTGCATGAGCCAGGAGTAACCCCTGAGCATCGCCGGGTGTGACCCAAAAAAGCAAAAAAAAAAAAAAAGTACTGGGAGTACACTGCTGATTAGAGATTATATGCGATTCTTTTGATTTGGACTGGGTTAACTGTCATTGCCAGGTATGATTTGTCCCTCCTGTCATAAGCCTGTCTTTTTCCTACCCAGGAGACAGCTACTCTAGGAGGAATACTTCACTTCTGTTTCAGAAAGCCTTTTTTTTTTTCTTATTACCTGAATTAACTAAAATTCCCTCTGAGGCTCCTCAGCTAAAGCCAACTTTTTTTTTTTTAACACTACTTTTCAAATTTGGACTTTTCCGACATCCTGAGGAGTTACAGGCAGTGAGGGGCCCTTTTCTAGAGGGAATCAAAGCCACAAAATCACAGTAGTTTTCTCAAAATCTGGCAGCTTAGGGACATCTGATGTATTTACTAAGGGACCCAGAAAACTGGCTATCTTTGTTCAGATACTTCCAGTTTAAAAGACTACTATTGATAAGGAGTTCCTCATTATCATTGTTGAGTTTTTGAAGTCAGCAAATTTGGTTTATTTTCCAACACTGTGTTGTCTGTCTTTGTCTTCTGGCTCAGTGGGTATGGGTGTGGGTAGCACTGTAGCACTGTCCTCCTGTTGTTCATTGATTTGCTCGAGCGGGCTCAGTAACATTGTGAGACTTGTTGTTACTGTGTTTGGCATATTGAATACGTCATGGGTAGCTTGCCAGGCTTTGCCGTGAGGGTGAGATACTCTCGGTGGCTTGCTGGGCTCTCTGAGAGGAGCGGAGGAATTGAACTCGGGTCGGCCTGGTCCGCGCCCTACCCGCTGTGCTATTGCTCCAGTCCATGGGTGTGGGTGGTGAAGCAAATCTTATCTATGGCTTCCTATTAATATCATACTCCCTGAATCACAGGGCATGCAGCTTTGCCTGGAGTAGTTTCTTCTTACTTTTTTCCATACCCCTGTGGTCTGGGGATGATTGACTTAAGATGATCGACCTCACACATGCATGGCAAATACTCTACCACTGCACCACATCCCTGGCCCCACCAACTGTCTTCTGCTTGTTTTCCCACACCTTGGTTCCTGCTCACCACCTTCTTTTCCCCAAGTCACCTTAGTTCTGTTATCAATGTCTACCAGTTTATTATTTTTTTCCCCATTCCTTGTC